CAGGAAACAACACACACACACACACACACACACACACACACACACACACACACAGAAACACACACATACACAGACAGAAACATATACACACACATACACACACACACACACATATACACACACACAAACACACACACACACACACACACACACACATATACACACACACAAACACACACACACACACACACACACAAAACACACACACACACACACACACACACACACACATACACACACACACATAGAGACAGAAACATATACACACACACACACATACATCCATGCACACACACTTACAGAAGAACACACATAAACACATGGAGATACTCATACTCATACAAACACACACATAAACACACACAAACACAGACACACAGATATACATATACTCTCACACATGCAAATGCACAATGAACACACACACACACACATATGCACACTTACACACAGAAATATACACACATATAAATGTAAACAAACACCCACACAAGCATGCACACACACTCACAAAAGTACATGGAGACACACACACACACACACACACACACACACACAAAAACCCCATACAAACATAAACAGACATTCACGGGCACTCACACACACACACACACACACACATACACAGGACAGATGAGCAGTGACACACTCATGGCGCGCTCTGTAATCAGTCACACACAGGTCAGAACACGCTCGTTCACCTGGGGAGCTGCCGGAAGTCTCCAGAATAATCCTCATATCTGTAGCTGACCACATGCCAGTCTGAGACGTACGACTTGATGCACTGAAGAACAAACACAGCAGCATCAGTACACACACACACACAGACAGAACACACAAACACACACATAAACACACCAAAAACAAACACACACACATGCACATACACACATATATATAAACTGTATTTCCGTTAAACCGAAATTGGGAAGTATACAGGGGCGAATACTGCAAGCACAGCTCCGTTCTCCAGCAGGACACCTCTTCCTCTGGCCTCTGTGTGCTCAGAGAGCCCTCATTAATTCCCTCAGCGCTTTACTCTCTGTCCAATCTGATTTACTTAGGAAGAGCGGAGACGAGATGAAAGAGGAGCAGGAAAAGCCAGCTCTCATAGGTGAACGGAGAAAAACAGAGCTTTATATAGATCAAAACCAGAGGAAACACTCAATATTCACACACACACACACACACACATGCATGCACATCAGCACAAGAATAGTTGAAGTTCATTGTTGAAGTAGTGTTGAAGTATATATTTAAGTATACTAGTAGTTTACTTGTGTCATTCATTCATTTTCCTTCGGCTTATTTATCAGGGGTCGCCACAGCAGAATGAACCGCCAACTATTACAGCATATATTTTACACAGCAGATGCCCTTCCAGCTGCAACCCAGTACTGGGAAACACCCACACACTTACATTCTCTCACACACACACACTCACACACTCATACACTGCGGCCGATTTAGTTCATGTGGCTTTTTTTACAAGCATATTCAAATGTTGTATTTCAAAGCTCAACAAAATCAGTGTATTGCTTAAGCAGGCTGCGTTCATGTGCGATGCTTTAAACTGTGTAACAATTAGGGATGCAACGATTTTAGTCTGAAGAATAATCCTGGTTTATCAGCATTAATATGCATTCATTCAATTCAAAACACGACTAGTTAATGTTGAAGAAAAGAAATTTATTTTTATTACTTTTGTGTTTTTTATTTATTCGAAAAATGCTTAGACTAACAACAGATTAATCAATCTTTTGTATTGTATTATAACACATCTTGACCAGACAATCTTGCTCTTTTTTACTGTGCTGCATACTAAAAAACTGCTAAACTAGTGGAAAAAGCAGAATAAGAATACATTTAGGTTTGTGCCAGACTTCTGTCTAGACATGTCACAAGGAGCATGATCTTTGTAGAAGTGTGAAATATATTAAAGATGCATGTAATTGTTCAGTTCTGGTATGCAGAGGAGGGTTGCAGAAAGAGGAAGTATGTCTGGGTGCAACACTAAAAGGACTGCAGAATGACTGATAAGTGACGTTACAGCAAAACTCCACCTGTTAAGATGTACATGACAAATGCAGCTTTGCTGAATCATGTTTACAATTTTATTTTGAATAATCACCTAGTCCTAGCAGATAGGTATAGCTAAATCATGACACCACTCTCATTTCTGGCTAAACGATGGCTTTACCAATTTAATTTCAAGAATGTAGCAGTCTGACCACCTTGCAAATGTTTGAGGAGCTTAATGTGTTGAGAAGCACGTGTTGACTATAGCCACATGTTGGAGACGGTGAGGTTAATTATCTGTGAGTAGGTGGCCGGCGGCTGTGTGTGCATTTGTGTCGGGATATCTGTGACTGCTGCGCAGCTCCACTGCCCAGGGCCTGAACACTCACAGCCAGCCTC